GTGTTTAGCTGTATTAGCTAGTGTTTAGCTGTATTAGCTAGTGTTTAGCTGTATTAGCTAGTGTTTAGCTGCATTAGCTAGTATTTAGCTGTATTAGCTGGTGTTTAGCTGCATTAGCTAGTATTTAGCTGTATTAGCTGGTGTTTAGCTTGTCTGTAAAGCTTGTGGTGTAAAACTAACCACAGATGAGATCCAGCGGTCTGACACCACTGGCTTTGGGATCGGAGGGTAGACTTTCTGTTTGATGCTGTTGGAAATAAACASATGTATAAATAATTCTTTAAAAAGAAACAAATGTTCCAGGTTTATTGAAATAAAGCGTGTTGGTCGGCTCACCAGGCCCAGTGTCTGTAACAGAGGAATGTGGTGAGGAAGAGGAGAAGAAAAACTGCTCCCAGTGAGATGAAGATCATCCAGATCAAACCATCAGCTACAGAGAAGAAACACAAACAAACAGGTAGAGAWGAAGAATATTCTAACATCTGATCAATGTTCTAATAGAACAGATGAAACTTTTTATAAAACTGTTTCAGTCAGAATAAACCTGTTTAAATCTGTTTGTGTCAGCGGTCCAGTTCTGGTCGGTTCTGTTCTGGAAGTGTTTGTTCACCAGTAACCTGCTCATGTTTCATCGTACGCAGATGACTCGCTCTTATTTTCACACAACAAATACAGTATATTCAGTTAACAGTAAATTATGAAAAAACTCATCTGTATTTTACAAAAAACTTGACAAAAAACAAAGTGTTATTTCTAAAACTAAAAGCTAAAAGAGTTTTTATAAACAAAGTAATGAAGTTTGGGTTTAAAAAAAATGAATCGAGTATAAAAAGTTATAGTTTTTATGTTTTTACAGCCAGAAAGAAGAGACGGATGAAACTATCATTCCTTGCAGCTGTGGCGGCCATCTTGAATGAGTTTGACACCAAACCTGATCAGTTTTTGCTCAAATCAGAGTAGAAACAATAAAAGATGTTTTCTCTGCAGGATTCTGTGAAAACATGAAGGAAACAGATCCAGGTCTGAGCAGAGAGAGTTTAGAGCAGAAGGAAACAGAGGGTCTTACTCGGGGGGGTCACGGTGGCGGTGATGGTTGTGTTTCCTCCTTCTCCCACGTCTGTCGCTGCCACCATGGTGAAGGAGTAGGAACCCATGTCCAGGTTCTTCACTGTCAGGCTGCTGGCCTCTTGGTCCTCTGGACCAGGAGAGACCAGGGTTTAAACCTTCAGATCTTTTGTTTGTTTGTGTGTGTGTTTGTGTGTGTGTTTGTGTGTGTGTTTGTGTGTGTGTTTGTGTGTTTTCTGTACCCGTGCTGACGTTGGAGACTTTGTTGCGGTGGTCCTGGTAGTGCAGAACGTAGCCCCGGATGAAGGCGGACTGCTCTCTGAGAGGAACAGGATCCCAGGAAACCAGGCCGTCAGAGTCCTGCTGGGTGAACTTCAGAGACCTGAAGAGCTGGTTCTGGATCTCTGGAGGAGAGGATGCAGACCCTCAGAACCCTGACAGAACCCTGATGGACCGCTGGAGGAGCAGAAGCTTACGTGTCTGTCTGGAGTAAGCCTCTGTTCTCTGGAGCAGCAGCGGAGCTCCTTCAGTGCAGGCCCAGATCTGAACCCAGTACCTGAGTCCGTCCCTCAGGGTTTCTGGGACAAGTCAAAGGAACAGTTAGAACTTTGACCCACTGGGTCGGGTCCAGGGCCACTGTTTGCTCTGATCATTTCCCTTTTAGAACCAGGTATTAAAAACAAACAAGAGATTATTTGAGTTTGGTTCTGAGACAAATGAAAATGAAAATACGAAGCTAGAGTTCAGTTTTATATTTTAAAATAAATTATGTGTAATAGAAAGCAATATTTTATTATMTTTAAGCATTGTTTTATATTACTGTTAGTTGATAAAAAAAACTCTTTCCACCAAAAAAATATTTGATTAACTAAAGACAATATCAAAGTTGTTCAATGAACATCTCGTAATAAGTAAAAAGACATTTCGACTTCAGAATCGAGTACTTATTTACTTGGTATCACATCGATATCAAAGTCRTCACAAACTGACAGAAAAAAAACACAGATTTTGTCAAAAAGGCAGACAAAAACAACAACAATCGTACAACTCACTAATGAGATTCAATTTGTCTTATTTTACTTTTTATTGAGAGAAATGGAGGCAATACTTGTTTCAATAAAGAGGTTTGTTTGGTCCCACAAAGTACCTCTGAAGGAGTCATGGACGTCAGAGGTTTTTTATTTTTTGTTTGTTTTAAAGTTATTTAGTTTTTGTTATGTGAAACAGAAAATGAAAGTCAAATCATTTTTAAAATTTGGCTCATGCCTTTTTCACACTAACAGAAATGCTTTTCATTTTAATTTCTTTATTTTAAAACAAATCAAAAATCGACTCGTTTCTTTAACTGTTTCCAAAAGGAAGATCCAACATTCATGTACTGAAAAAAAACACTAACAGATTATTTTATTTTATTTTCTACTCCAGCAATAGAAAAAAAG